AATAAACCAGTTTTATTAAGTAAAGACTTGTGTCGTTAAAATTTCGTCGGAACAAAGTTAGGGAAAAATCAATTAACAAACGGAGACGTAACAATATGTTTCTTTTTTACCCAAATGATGAAACTGCGTTCTAACCTTTATAAGTAGAAACGTAAGAAAAGAATATTTAATTAGCTATAATGATTGCCAGGTTGATTTTTAGTTCTCTCTAAGTGCATAGCTTGCTTTTTCAAAGCCCCCCAGTGGCAGAGCGGTATGTCTGCGAACTTACAATGCTAGAAACCGAGTTTTGATACCAATGTTGTGTACAGCACAGATAGCCCATTGTGTAGCTATGTGCATAACTTCAAACAAACAAACAAAGCTTTTTCGAAAATTAATATTATTTTTTTAATATTATTCATCTAAGTCTCAAATGTAAGTTCTATGTTTTGTTTTTCCTTTTTGAGAACCATATTTACAAATCACGTGGCAGTACATTACAAGAGAAACTGTTTATATCTTAGTTCTATTTATATTAGTAAAGTTCTCGGGTGGGAACATAAGTAACAACTAAAAAGTTGTGTTTAATAAATATAAATTAGTTGATTTTATTATGTATACAAATTACAATTATCTTTTGGAATATTTATAAAAATAGTGTCGCCAATAAATTCTCTTCATGATAGAAGCCTAGCAGATATTTTGACCTCTAATTTAGGGATGGCCCACTAAATATATTCCTGATCATGAGTTATTTTTACGACACTCTATTTCATTACTATAATTTTGCAAAACTAGTATATTATGATCCTACCTAGTGAAAAATTAGGGCTCTTAAGTAACAATTAGTGGCGCTGTGAACGCAACCGCGACCAGCAATGGAAGTGTAAGTAGGCTTGAGCTTCTAATTTATATATATTCAACCTTTTTATTCATCAACATACTATTTTTTTTTGCTCTTGGACATTATTTTCTATTGAATGGTGTAAAGAAATAGGAAAAAAAATTCAGGGAAGCACTGACTGGTAAATACTTGACATTTAGGGTTATTCTATCATTCACAGACCGATACTCGTATAAGTTATAACTTATAATTTCTATTGAGAATTATACTGGTACATTTTTTACTTGTAATTGTAGAGAGAAATACTTGTCTGCAAATTCCAACAAAAAGAGAAGAACAGTCTGAAGCAAGGCTTCAGTTCTGTTATTGTAAGAAACAGCTTGTTGTCCATTCCAAACTAATAGTAATAGTAAAAGATACTATTGGCACTGAACTGTTAGTATTGAAATTCTGTAGTTATTTTTTAATTCTTAAGTTCAATTTCGTTATGATAGAGATTGGATAAAGACTAGTTAATTTGATTTTAGGGTGGTTGGATTGGAGAAAGCAAAAGGTTGTTTTTAATGGAATCCAGTCAAAGTGACACTTGTAGATAGTGGAGTACCTCGGTTAATAATCAATGCTCTTTCTTATTTACATTAATCATATTGTTAGGGTCATAATTACTAAAATTAAAAGAGGTAACTCTTGGCTGTTTTTACTTTTACCTGTATTGAGGATGATGAGGTATTACAGAATGATTTGGATCAATTGTTAAGTTGAACAGATACTTTGCAAATGGCCTTTAATTATAAGAAGTGCAATGTAATGCATGTACTAATGTAGATTATCATTACTTGGATCACATTTAATATAGATGGGAACCCATTCAGTGGTATAACTGAAGAAAAGGACCTTGGCATAGTGTTAGATAAGTCACTCAAGTAAACAAAGCAATACTGTGTTACTATTAGTAAAGATAATAAAATTTTAGGGTGTATTGATTACAAATCAAAGGAGGTAATTATCTATACATATTAGTAATTAGGCCTCACTTGGAACATTATGTACAATTTTGGTCTTCTTATCAAAGAAAGGATATTGACTTTTTGAAAAGGGTTAAGAGGAGGATTACTAGGATGATTCAAAGAATGGAAAGGTTATCTTAAAGAGAAAGATTTGGATCTCTAAACTTATTTTTTCTTGAGAAAAGAATGATGGTAAGGCTGTCTTGTTGAAGTTGATAAGATTATCCAAGTCATTGGAATAAAGAACACTGATTTAATTTTGCTGAATTACAAAGGCAGTAGAACACAAGTTTAGTATTTGAAAAAAGAAACAGTAAGCACTAAATGAAACATTATTATTGCTGTAGTTATAATAGCTGAACACTCAGAGGATTCATGCCCTAACAAACAATCACACCAAGATCCTTTTTGCAGCTAGTGGTTAGTATACTGAACTGTGAAACTGAGGGTGTATGGACTGCATTGATGACCATACCTTGCTCTTTGGGGCTGTGTGTGCATTATATAAGTGATGGTCAAGTTTCAGTATTTTATTATAGTTGCCTAATAGTTCACAGTGGATGCTGTTTATTAGCTGCCTACTCTTTATTTTTTTAGTTCAAAATTAGAAACAGATTGCACATATATGCCATATGAAACAAAAAAAGACACAAGATCCTCATTCCTTCTCCACAACACTCTCATACAATAGGTAAAGCCTTTCTGTTTTTCTATGTTGGATAGACATGGCCTCTATTTCTTAATTACTTGCAAGGGTGTTAAAGATGCTGTTAACCAAAGTAATATTCTTCTTAGTTTCAACCTTCATCCAGAAAAACAGAAGTGATGATGCATATTGCTTTTTGAGTTTCTGAAACCATCCTTCAAGTGAAATTTTAAGAGTATAATCTAACACTTTACATACAACAGAAATAAATGTGACCAAAATATAATTCCACAGATCTTACTTACTTTTCTCTTAATATACAAGAATTACACTAGAAAGTTTCTAATAATCAAAAATGTTCTTCATCGTGTAGTAACTTTTTATAGAACCTAATTGCTTTCTGTTCTTTTGCATTAAATTACTAGAATATGTCATGTGGATCAGAAACTAAGTGCATAAGTTTCTCCAGTATTTACAATAGTATTATTCTTCACTTCAATAAATCAAAAAAAAATTTTCACTATTAAAGAAATTACCAGGATAATGAATCTTGCTCTCAACCATAAAACTACAAGAACACGTTAAAATTACAAAGAATTCCATGGTAACCTTTTTCTCCATAATATTCTGTTGTTGACTAAACTCGCATATTTCATTTTGTTAGTCACATTAGCATAAAAACCCTTGACTTTGAATTTTATAATTATTGTTAATATACATTCTTCTTAAGTAATTAAGTGACCAAGACTGAACATAATACTCCAAATGAGATATAAACATCTTACAGAGTGAAATGATGATCTACTTTGAAATGTACTCAAAATTTCTATGTATACAGGCTAAAACCCTGTTTGCCATCTTACTAGTTAATGTACAGTGTATAAAAGGTTTTAGAGATATTGTTTCTCATATAAACTTCACCTATAATTTCCCTAGCAAGACTATAAGAATAGTTAATTTTAATCCAGTTTTAATTATTACTATGTAACATTTTTGTTTGAAATATTCATGTGGATACATAATGGAAATAAGTCATTGCCCTAATGAGCAGAAAGTCCAAATCTATCATTCTAGGTGCAAGACATTTACTAGTACAGTCCCTCTTAGTCTTTATAGTTGGTATTTAACTCTTTCCTTTTTTTCTCTTTAAAGCTCAATACTGTTCATAATTTTGTGATTTTGTGCTATTTATCTGAAATATATAGTTTTAATTTCATGTTAACAAATTAAGATCTCTCTTACGAGTTGTCAAGGTGTTACAAAGTATAAATATTGATGTGATTTCTCATTTTTGTTTTAATTCTTGTGTAATTTTTGACAAGTTTCCAATGGAATTTTTATTGTATACATCATAACAAACAACATTTATTTTAAAACTTTGCTATTTTAGAAGAATTTTCATATGGATTGCATGTTGGTTCAATCATGTTGAAAAGTATTTCCACGTAAATTTAGATAATCTGTCATAAGAAAACCATCTTGAGGTTTGTTTTTTTGCTTTCAGTTGAAAACAAGCACAAATGTTATTTAATTGTTATTGTGTAATAATAATTTGTATTATATCAAGTCTAAAAGTGATGCAGAAAGGTTTTTCTTATTATATTTAAATGTGAAATAACATATGTTCATTGCTTTTTTAGGTTGAAAGCAAATGCAGCATTGCTTAGTAATCATGAGGTATGTTTAGTTGTTTGGTAGTTACTTGCTTCTTAATATTCAGATACAATTTTATAAATCCTTGAGTGAGATCACTTTTATACATTATTTTGCATAATTTTATGAACTGTAGTTATAAGGTCTATTTAAATTAATACCTAATTACAGTTTCACTGATAATACTTTATGTATCAACTTGAATTTCTTAACCAATGCATCCTAAAATTTTATAACTTATCTGTAACAGAATTGAAATGTTCAATTATGAAATAACATTAAATATTTGTTTTATAATCACATAAAAAGAAAATTCACATGCTTGTATTTCATCTGTTAATGCAGATCTTCAAGCGAATGACTTTCTATTTGATTTCTGTTCTTTATTGGTAGGTATATACCTTACTGAAAGATTTGCAAGAAGAAAAGAAATTATCCAGGAATGTGAAACACTCGCAGAATTTGGCCACAATATCCTATGAGGTATTATAATACTTTTTAATGTCGGGGTACCTAAGATATCACATTTATATTATCTACTTTTGTGTGATATAACAAAAAAATTATTGTTAAGTTTAACATACATGTGCTGGCTAGCAAGAGCAGACTTGGATTTGTCAACTGGACATGCTCTGCCTACAAATGTGGTTATTCATTAAATTATCTAAGCATATCTAGCAGTCAGTATAGTCTGCTATAATTGAAAAGAAGAATTACAAGATATATTTGTAGGAGATTAAGTGTTAATGATTATATGATATCATACTAACATATAGTTAGGAAGGTTTTTTGAAACATTTTCTTTAGAAAATACTTTACATGTACAGGCATCTTATACAAATATACAGACATTATAATTTTCCAGTGTTTAGCCTCTAGGTAACTCATGCCCATGTTTTTTTAATATGAAAATATTGTTGCATTCATCACCTCATATCGAGAAAAAAGGCAGTGCAATTAATGTCTTGAGTACATTTTAAGGAAAAGATCATGTGACTTGTTCAGTTATTGTTTGTAGCAGTTTTCAGGTATATCATTAAACTTTAAAAGAAAGCAAGACTTATTGCTGGTGATTTTTATGTGTGTTGAAGATTTTTCTAACCTTTGGATTCTTGAACATATCTAATGAGTGAAAATATAAATTCTAATGTTGTAACTGCATTTCTTTTTAACTGCAGACACTTCGATACTTAGAGCAGACACCTTGTACATACCTGAATGAGGAAGCTATCCACAAGTTCCTTATGGAAATTCAACCATATAATCTGACTAAGTAAGCATACCATTAACTTGTGAATTTTACTTTTCTATCTGAAAACAAGTGCTAATATGAGGAACTTCTGAATGAAGACAACAAAACTTTAGACTAAATGGACATTCAATAAAATATATTTTATGGTAGATGACCTAGTAGTAATGGACATGAAATGTACAACTTTAGACCAAAGTTAGTTACTTAAGTTTTAGTTTAAGAAGACTGGTCAGACTGCTTAAAAGATTTGGAGCTTGGGAAGTTTGGCATTTCAGTATAATATCAATCATGGTTTTCTATTCTGATTTTTCAAAACTCCAACTGGGGAATTGGGGCACTGTCAAGTAGAATTGTGGCAGGGGCCCCGTGTGCCAGTGCCTAGCTACACCTCTGCTGGTCAGTATACTTGTAATTAAGTAAATTGCATTATTTCATCAGTTCAGTATCCTTACTGTAAATAGCAATTTTGGTTTTATTGGTAAAATGTTTGTCTTTAGGGGCACTGGAAGTATGTACAGGATACAAAAGTTTTGCAACACCATGATTTTGTACATTCCTACCCTTTCAGCTACTCAGAATGTGCACTTTTGATATTATGGTACAATGCCACTCGGGCTGTGGTTCATGTTGTTTAGCATTTGTGACATTATGGTTGGCAAGCTGTAGTGATTCTTCACTTCAAATAGATTCACGAGGTATGTGAATCTATTACAAATAAGTGTTTGATGTGTAAGATAAGGAGAGTGTACAGTCCACAATGCCCTATCAGTCTTTTGGGAAAAGCAAAATCCAGGTACTGCATGACATCCAATGCTTTGTTGCATAGGCACCATCTTGTTAAAGCCATGTGTCTTTTCAGGTGTGTTTTGCTAATCCACGATCACCATGCCAGCATATTTCTGCAGGAGAGCTAAATATCCTACTCCAGTCAGTGTGCTTTCAATGAAAAATGGACCAGCAATATGACATTGTGTCAGGACACACCAAACCATCACTCTACCTGCTCCATAGTCTTGGTTCCTACAACGCGTAGGTTTTTTCAGTATCAGTATCAAAAATTGTGATGTTCATTTCACCACCATTTTTTTTATTGTTGCCTATTCTGCTCAAAATACCAGGTCCTCCTGAGCCACAAATTATTCACAAAAGCCTACACGCTGGTCTGGATCATTTTTTGAGATATATGGACCTTATGAAAATCAAAATTATGTTTCTTTACAATCTAAAGATAGTTTCTTTAACTGTTCCTGCTTCTGAAGCAGTTTGGGTAATTGACCATTTTGGACCAAGGTCCTGATTCCTTGCTGTAGAGAATCTTCCTCTGCATTTACTATTAGCCACAGAATCAGTCTCATAACACGTGGTGAGTAAATAATCAACACTATGTGAGACAAAGGATACTCATATCCTCATGCTGACTCAGTCCAGGATTGCTTCGACACATTCATATAATGTTCATGATTGCTAATCAGTTATTGTAGCAAAAGAAAATGAGATAGTTAGTGAATTACAGACATAACTTAGAAAAATCATAGTCAGGGCAATGCTTAAAATGTCATGGGGAGTATGTTATACCTTTTACATCTCTGTATGTTTATCTGTCAAATCTCTCTTCAAAACTGTAATTTCAAACATAGAAGGTATGCGAAATAAGAAAGATCAGAAAATTGTTTCATTAAAATAAATAGTTTGCATTTGTGCAAAAGACTAAAGTTAAGATAGATATTTTCTACAACTGATTTTCAAGGCTCGAAGATGATTAAATTGATGAAATAAACTCATTTTCATAGAATAACATAATATGTCTTACAACTGATATAATTTAATTACAGATTAAACAAAGGAATGGTAAATAGTTCCTCTCACTAACCTGCCCACAAGATACCCTAAATAATGTGGTGCTCCTAGTTAACTAAGATGGTGATAAGCCAATTTGTTGGACTTGCATATGAACTGCTTTTAATTTCATATAAATGTAATACTAACTTAAAAGGTATTAGGGAAATAAAATATATTTATATTTTCACAATCAAGATTTCACACCAAAACTGAAAGAGCCAATAGTATGTCTTTTCTTTCAGTGCTTGTGAGGTTAAAGAAGGTAACACTTTCATTTTCCACAAATCACTTCCAGGAATTGTTGATTGAAAATATCAGCCCAGAGAACAAAGTTACCATTAAAACCAAATTTAATTGATAACTAAAATAAACCAAATTCAGGCTTACAGCTATCATTAAATACCAAACATAAGTGCATGTACGTGCTGAAATTAAAACTTCAGATAATAAAATCATTCCAGTGACTTGCACATATTCTGCATAACATACTTTATGGAGAATTATACATGGACTTTTCTCTATGTTGAGAGCTTTTACTGGAGCCTTCATTGGGCAACAATGTACTAAGTAATGACAACTTGTTTATTTGTGGAACACTGCTTTAAAATAGGTATCTAGGAAACCATTGTAACAATAACTGACATATGGTATCAAAATTATTAACCATATAGAACAGGGGTAGCCAACCTTTTTTGTGCCACGGGCCAGATTTTGATTACCGGAGTCGACCCGGGCCGCATTCAACTTTAAAATACAGTGCTGGTAGAAAAAGTGGCCATCCTGACCTTAGTATTTTTCAATGCTCTGATACAGCTCTCATTTGGCTGTGGTCACAAAGAATCTTATATCAATAGATAGAAAACTTTCTTGGCTTTTATATAATGTACTTTACTTTTGATATTGTGCCATTAGGTGTTCTCTAGAGACCAAAAACAAAAATTTCATTTTTTGTCAATTGAGTTATCTCTGGTGGAAAAGACGTTTGGATAATAATTTTTACATCAGTGAAGAGAGAATGAAGGAACCTTTCATTTGACACTTCGATCAGCAAAATCAGTCCATATTCGGTCAAGGAATCTTATGTTTACCCAATTCTGCCAGATTATCGAGCTAGACTCATTTACGATGAGCATGTTGCTCTCAGTTGGAATTTTAATTGTCCTCCAGTCAGACCACTGTCGCTAAGGTCGCCGAGACGACAATGAAAGAATGGCTCAAATTGCCTCAGCGGAAGCCCGATGGAATGAAAGAGTGAGTTATCGCCTCCTCGCTACTCGCGCGAACACAACGGTGACGTCAAGTGAAAGTATAAAATGATGACGCGCAAATCCCTCGCGCAAATTAAAAATAATGAAAAGGCCGCAGGGGCTGTCTAAGTATCATGCGTGGCCCATGATACAGTGAATTTTATAAATGTTAGGCGGGCCGCAGAAAAAGACATCACAGGCAGCATGCAGCCCGGGGTTTGGCCACCCCTGATATAGAAGATAAATTGATTACTTCAATATAATAAACATAAGGACAATACAATTATAGGTATTATATAGAAAAATAAAAATACATAAATTGTTCATAATTAAAATAATACATTGTTGAATTAAAGATATAAGTTACATCGAAATCACAATAATATAATCGAAATAATATGTTTTTGAGATGTGGTGTCCATGCATTATTGAGTAATTTTTGGCCATTGTTCTGATTTATACCGACTGGTGGTCCACTATCTTGTGCTTAGATGGCAATAGCGTCTTTGATTTTTCTCCATCTAGTGTTTTCTTCTCTGTCTATCTTTTTTTTTTACATCTGTTATACTGTTGTTTCCCTGATTGTGAAGAGGTATAACTGATGTGTTTATTGCACAGTCCTTAATATCTCTGGTGTTCTTTGAAACTTATCTGTAATGGGTGTTGTGTTCCCCAGTGTATTCTACATATTAATTTACATATAAAATACCGTATGTTGATAGAAGGTGATATCTGTAGGAAGTAGGCAAGGAAATGGTGTAATGGTTTCATCTCAAGAAATTATGCATTCAGACCATGTGAGGTTTTTTAAGTATTTACATATTTAATCATAATATGAAAATATGGTTTAGATTCTTTAAGTTTATTTTAAATACTAGTATTATATCTAAACAGTTGATAAAAGTACACAAAACGGTTTTTTTAAATGCCACTCTTAAGGATACCTGCCTTTGAGTGTCCTGTAGAAATGTGTTTAGTAGATTGCATCCTTTACAGTATTGGTCCGGTGTTTTATTATTCAGTGGTAATTGAGATTTATGAAATTATAATAACTCTCAGTTTACAAAAAATACCTGATTTTGTTTTATTCAACCCCCTCAAGATTACAATGTGCCATTATGTAATAGCTTAATTATATTCAGGTGTAAGGCTGAATGATTCAATAATTTTCAAGTCATATCAACACTTCATGATGCTTGCATCCTGATCTATATTTTCATACATGGTTGTAGATATCCATGAGGAATTTGGTAGTTCTGTATCTCAACTCTTGACATCAGCAACTTTACTTTCAGGGCTGAAAAACTACAATTGATAAATCATAGACCAACCACATTAGTAGAAATACAATTGGTAAGTTTGAGTTTCCATTTGATTACATAGATTGTAAGATATCAATACCAGTTGCCACAAGGTTTCATTCTCTTCAGCTAATTAATGACAGTTCACCTGTTGACATCGTTTGCAAAGCTAGCTAAGAAGTGTTGAAAATTCTGTTTCTTTACAGTAGGTGATTTTATAATTAAATGTTTTGTTCTTCTACATTGCATGTGTGAGGAAGAAAACAGCTTTGTTTACTGTTATTTTAATATAAATGAAAATTACCTGAGTTAGGATGTGAAAAGTAATTCAGTACTTTTGCATTAGCTGATTGAGGAGAGTGAGGAACGTCTAACAGAAGAGAATATGGAGGAAATCTTAGCTATTGTTGCTAGGGTTTTACCTGCAAATGAAAACACCACTGAAGATACACCCATGGAGGCTGATGAAGAAGAACTAGAAGCAGACACAGAGTGAAATTTAAACTAATAATATAATCATCCTTATGTTTATAGTTATATTTCTCTATAAGAACTTTCACTTTACATCTCATCAAGTATTTTTGTTTCATGATTCTTTGTTATCTTATACTTGAAAATATCTAATATGAAATGTTATCATTCCCACCTTTTTTTCTTTTTCTGTCAAACAAAATATTTTGGTTGGCTTTTTATGGAATATAATCTTTTATAGTCAGCCCAGAGCCCATTTCTAAGTTTAAAAAAAATAATTGTAACAGAAACTGCTTGGTAAACCCTTTGTTAAATTAGATTTTTAAGGTCAAAGTTAAATAAAATTACAATACAGTTAAAAGTAATATTCATAACTAGCAGAGTACGCGGCGTTGCATATCCCGAGTTGTTTCGATTAAATTAACCATATTAATTGATTTTTTTTTGCAAAAGAATCAAAACGATTTCAATAAAAATAAATGTCTAAAAAAAGTTGGCTAAAGAGTTCTTGATCAGTGGTCATGATATTACATGACTCTTGTATTTTGACTGTAATCATACACTTTGCCTGTGTACTTAGTTTTACTAGAACTTTTTTGTAATAAGAAATGCAACTTATCAATTTTAACTTACATAACCCCCTTTTTTGTTTATCCTAAAGTTGCTTAATTAATGTTTGTTATTCAATTTTTTTTATCATAAGCTATATAGCCAAAAAAAAAAAAAAGATGCATTTAAGGCTATGTTAGTGAAAATTTAGGGATGTTTCCCAAAATATATATTAAAAAAATATGACATTTTCTTAATAACAAGAAAGATATTTTACAATAAAATGCTTGTTAATGATTTATCTGGTATTACTGGGTAAGCAAGATTTATGATCTTGAGGTAATAAGTGCATTTTGATTATTTTATTTATTGTGCTCTATCTGGAGATGTCTTACCCTTAAGTATAACACTTTTCTAAAGTTTTAAAATAATCTTCTGGTTGATATTGAAAGATGACCAGCCACAGAATGTTTATTTTCCATCCTTTTATTTTTCAGCACACAGTTTTATATGGGAATTACAAAATCCCTCGGGCATTGTGAATCATAGCAGCAGTAAGGTACACTTAAGAAACTATGGTAGTACAATATGTGTGTTTTTATATGTTTTAAATTACTAATATTACAAAAACTCAAGCTCTACAATTAGACAAACAATATTAAAAGTGTTTTACCCTAATTCTAGACACAAGTGACTATTTTATGCAAGGTGAATCAACCATAGTTAAATTATAAGTTGATTTATTAACAGTATGGAAAGGAATTGTTTAATTCAGGTGATAATGTAACTTTTAATAAAATTATAAAGGTACTTACTGTGTTATCATTGTCTATGGTCACTATTTCAATATAGCCATTTGAAAGCGTGTCAAGAGTCTACAATTTTAACACAACTGATTTGGCTAAATTTTCTTTAAGTGAGTTGTACACTGTTTAAATAATATATCAAATCTTATATATAACAGGGTTGAAAACCACACTTAAGTGTCTAATTAGTTTTGTGGTGTTTTAAATACAATTAAGCATTAGCAAAGTCCAGATTTTGAAAATACTTTGGATTGCTAAAAAAAATTACCTAAAAGCTTGAGCACTTTCAAAGACTACCCTCTTAACAAGGAGCAAATATAATGCTTTTTATTCCTAATAAAAACTTCATGACCTTTTGTACATTTACCCATTCTTCATATGTGTTTGAACACAAAGGACAGATGGAACAAAAACCCCAAAACTTAATTTTTTATTTATATCTCTGATTTACATATTGATACTATACAACTACATTCCACAGAGCAGCAGCTCAGAATTAAGAGTACATAACCAAACAGATTTCTCAAAACTTGTTTTTAGTAGCTGAACTAATCTACTACATAAAGGAAACAGCTTTAAACAAAGAGCAAAATGACACCTCTATGTTTGGATAACTACTTTGAGTAACATTTTGACATTTGATTCCTGTGATTTTCCTGAACTATATTACATAGAAACACCTGAAAAGATAAAAACAAAATATCACACACACTAGGATTATTATATCAAAAACAAAATTTATGTCTTCGCTTTTTTTTTTTTTGGTTTGGTCAGTATACTACAGGTAAGTACAGAATGAGTGCTTCAGGTAAGATGAATATCCATGTAAACACATTTTTTAGATATGAAAATTGTGTGCCAAATAGACATACTATTCACTTGTACATATATTTACATATATTTACTTATTCACCACTATGAAAGAAACAAACCTATTTCAGTAATGAAACAAGCACAGAGTATGGGAGATCATTCTCACCATAAATGTCAGTTGTTGGGCAATGAAAAGTTACTTAAACCCAAAAATATGTAATTTTTTAGCATTGTAGGTTATTTTAAGGAGTAAAAATACTCATGTAAAAAGCTTAGCAGAAGCACAAGGGTGATTATAAAGAAAATACCTATTTAAAATGCTCCTAAAAGCTGCTTGTCCTAAGGGAGTTACAATTCACCAAAGGCATATTAAGAAAACTTTGGACATGGTACAAACGGTGTGTAATGTGCTTTCCATCATTGTCAATCAGCTTATCAAGCTTATTCCTATGTGGAGATACATTAAACATCTGTTTTCTGAGAGCATTCATTAAACTTTGCAATACCCAGCACACTGACTTTCATTTTATTCAAATTATCTTCTATTGTTCAAATAGAGAAGGTCTTTGAAGAGAAATAAAAGAAATGCTAGTTTGCAAGAAGAGCAGTTCAGGTGTACAGTAAAATAGGGTTTTGAAACACCATATAACATGCCTAATCTTTTCTCAACAAATCTAAAATTTTAATGTACCTCTGGTGAAATTAGTTTCTGTAGAACAAATAGTTTTTTAAATATTACTAAAATTTTTTTTTATTGTGACAACCCCCCTGTAGTTTAGGTCTTGTGAAAATTTTATGTGATTATCAATTCAATTCCTTTTTCTTCATACCTCATACTGGTTTGAGTTGTAACACTTTGAAAAGATAAAAATAGTCCTTTTTCTGTATACAAGTAACAAAAAACTATATAAACAGTTATAATGTTTGGTCTGATTTAAATAGTTACTAAGGATTAATCATCTTAGACTTTATGCCAACTTTAATACTATAAACATCTTTATTCTACAGGAACTGCTTGATTTGTTAATACAGAAGGATATGAAAGCTTTTGATTAATCATTGAGTATATGTAACTTTTGTAAGGATAGCACTCAGTCAAAGTGTCTCAAAACTTGTTTACACGATGACCTTAGGTTAAAAAAAGTTTTTATTCTATTGAATTTTTATCACTCACCCAAATCATCCTGCAGTATTTCATATTACATTACTAGTTACAAAACATACACATTAATCTTAACTATTTGCAGTATAAAGTTCTGGAAATCATTTCCATTGTATATATTTTGTAAATATAAGTTAACTTTTTACAGTTGAAAAATAAATGTTTAATTATATCTTCTGATATTATTTTGCATTAACGTGTAAACAAACATACTAGCTCATGTCAGTGAACAAAGACCAGCAGTTTTCAGCAATACCGGCCATCAAACAGCTAACTCTGTGCTGTTTATTGAATCATTCAGGGTTTAGTTTATACAATGTCCTTTTACTGCTGCCTTACGAAAGTGTTTAGGTTTACCCTATATATACACAACTTATTTCCCTTTTTAATACTTTAAAAGATACACATGTATACATTAAATTTGGATATAATTCTGTTTTTCATTTATGTAATACCTACCTTGTGAGAATCGGCACTGACGTAGTACCTCACGGAAACCCTCGCACAGAGAAAGATCATGTTGATTCTCAGCACACTCCATAAACTGCTTCAGTTCAAACTGGCAGGGAGCATTCTGGTTCTGGCCTTGAGCAGGGGTTTGTTGCTGGTATATGGGCTGTTGTTCTTGTGTTGTAGCAGGGACTTCTGATGAATTATCACTGAATCCTCCTGTGATAGCATGGCCTAATGTGTGTCCCTGAGAAATATGCCACTCAGAATTATCGAATGGAGCAAAACAATTATTTCAGTAATTTTTTTATCCCACATGCAAATAGCAAAAATTTTAACTATATATTCAAAAACAAAGTACTTATGTTTACGAACAAAAATTGTACAAATTGATTACTCAATATAAATATAATTGTTATATTTTATTTTGCAAAACTTTATTCTGATACATTGCTATCATGACAGCATGTTATTAACCTTTCAATTAGAATACCCAATACGTACTTCAACACAGAAAGGCATATTACATTACAAAAGTTCTTTTTAAGGAAGTTTAACCTCAATCAGAAATTAATCATATTTCTTCTACTCATCCTTTAGCATTTTTTTTTTTTTTACACTGCTCCTGTATATAGATATTCTAATCAAGCATACAGAAACCATAGCTGTTCACCTGCTCCCTATCTATTCAGTAGTTCTGCAATCAATTTGTAAATTGCCTTCAATAAAGATTGTTTTGGAATAAGGAAAAATTATATACAGTCAGTAAACTCTACTTGTGTTACAATTTGGCCTCTGTGAGATAAGCATTTGTGTCTAAAATTTAAAAAATACTTGTCTCACCTGATTCAAAACTATATAAGTTTATTAGCATGGTGTTTCTAATAGTAAGGTTTGAAGTTTTGATGGTGTACTAATGATAGGAATTATCAACTATCATGTGTTTATTTACAGGTCAAGCTATCTTACTGAATTTATTTTAGGAAACAAGATGTATCAACTACAACATTCTCATTTACACACATTTTTCATGGATCAAAGACACTGGGAAAACCTAGAAAATTTTTATATGGTGCATTTTTGGTACAGAAAACACCAGGGAATATCATTTTACAGGCAAAAACTGGGAAATGTCAGTGAATTTTCATGTGATTCACTGATACTTCTAACACATGGTTGGTGAAAAAAAAATCATCATTAGCACCAAAAAATTGCATACAAGTTAATTCTAGTGCAATTAGCATGTTAATATGCACATTTTTTGTGTAAATATTGTTTTTTCTGTATCAATCTTTTTGTACGGAGTATGAAGGTAGCCATAATAGATTACATAAACAATAGCTAGGTTCCTGCTTAAAACTAGGTCACAGAGAATTATTTTGCTACTGACTAAAACTAATAGCGTTTTTTTTAGAGATAGGCTGTTTCCATAAAATAGATTTTTTACATCTTACAAATTTTAGGGCATTAATAAAAGTCCTCATTTACCTCTTTGAGTAAGAAAGATTTGAAAGATGTCAAAACAAAAATTAACAGTTTGATTTAATATTTTGGTAAAAGTCTGGCATATCAAAAACAGAACAAATCTTGTCCATATACTTTTGTAGGAACAGTTGAATTAGAGCCAAAGAATAGCAGAATGCTAATTGATGTACCCATTAAATGCACAGGGAAGACATAGAATCAGAACCCATTGGCTTTTCTTTCAGCAACAATGTCCTTTTCACTATATTTCTTCAGGAGCTTCATTTGACCGTGTCAATTGTTTTCCCCCTGCTTCAATTATTGTAATTTTTAATAAGCTTTCTTGATTTTGTCGAGTGACCCATCTAAGTTTTCTTTCTCTTGCTAAGCAAAATTTTCTTTCTTGCACTGTTTCTGAAATATTTTTAGTTTTATTCAAAATTTTAGTTTAGAATTTATTTCACAATTGGTGTTAGAAGTGTTCAATTGAAATGAAAAGCTGAGGTGGCTTGATGCTATAAACATGCTATCTTTAACTTTCTCAACATGGGCTTAGTCGATTTGACTGACCACGTGACCTCTTTGTATTCGTATAGTCTTTATAGATTTGGTACTATTAACTTTTGATATAGTATGTATTTTTTCACAAAATTTGGCAGTCTTTCAGTAAACATTACAAGTCTTTTACATACAAAAAATCATATGTTTTTTTTGTGAAGCATTTTAAATAAACTAAAAAAAGATTTGTCCGTGAATATAGAGTATTTGTTTTGAATAGTCCTTGTGAAAAGTCATTTTCATATTCAGATTAAAAATACTGTTCTTCATCTCAAAAATGTCAGATTTGATTTGTGTAATCTCAAATGTTTGTTTTCAGTAAAACTTTATATTTTATCCAATATTTTCGCTAACCTAACTCTATACATAGTTCGTCAAAATACCTTGTAACCACCAAAAAGAAAAAATTTAAATTACCTTTTTTCTTTCTAGAATGACTTCAAATTGTAACATGAAACAACATTCGTATATCCTAAGTAGCTTTAAACTCATAACAGTATACATCTATTTATAATTAAATTTTATTGTTTTATTGCCCATAATTCAATAATGCACCAAAGAATATAGACTAATAACATGCATAAAGTAGAAAATAACCCCAATTCTCACAATTTTTCTGGCTTTCTAACTGTGCGACAATAACTGTTGCAAATTCATCCAAGCTAGTCATTATCTTTCCAATGGGAACGAAGCTTGTACTAACAGTAAAATTAACAATTCTCCATTCAGAAAACAATGTTATATAATACGTCATTTGATAGATGAAAACCTTAGCTTTCTATTGGTTATAGATAATATAAAATTAAACATTAAGAGAGGACTCTTAACAAATCCTGAAAGACAGGATGTGACAGGTGAGTGTGGTAAGATTTTCTATTTGATAGCTCTGTAACCAAATAACATTGAAGGCTATAATGGTTTGTCTGAACAATGTCAATTTTATAGTGAGTAA